CTACCCGGCGGTTTATCCCTCATTGTGCGCAACTGCTGCAACCCCTCACGGACTTACTCCGAGGCGGTACACGTAAATTCAACTTTACGGACGCAGCGCGCACGGCTTTCGTCGAGCTTAAAAAGGCTATATCTAATGTTGCCCTTCTAGCCCACCCAGACCCTCAGGCCCCACTTTCCCTCTTTACTGATGCCTCAGACGTAGCCGTCGGTGCCGTACTACAACAGCTTGTGAACGACCAATGGCAACCCCTAGGTTTCTTCTCCAAACGCTTGTTACCTGCCGAATCACGGTATAGCACGTTTGGAAGGGAATTACTTGCTATTTACCTAGGCCGCCATCCGCCATGCATTGGAAGGTCGCCCCTTCATCGTGTTTACGGATCACAAGCCTTTAGTATACGCACTCGCATCTTCATCAGACAGGTACTTCCCCAGGGAGATTGGACACCTGGACTATGTTTCGCAGTTTACCTGCGACATACGACATGTTTCAGGTGCCCTTAACCCTGTCGCTGACGCTCTTTCACGCGTCCATGCCACCTTAGTCACACCCTCTTCCGTTGACCTTAATGATTTGGCTGCGGCCCAGGCGCGAGAGCCTGATTTCCAAACTTCTTTACAACGTTGCTCCTTGAAGCTACGCGCCATTCCGCTGCCTAATGCAGACGGAACCATCCTTTGCGATATGACTACAGGTATTCCGAGACCTGTAGTGCCACTAGCTTACCGGCGTGCTGTCTTCAATCAGCTTCACAACCTCTCGCACCCAGGTATTCGCGCCACGGTTAAGTTGGTAACGGATAGGTTTGTCTGGCCTAAGGTTTAACTCTGACGTTCGTAGTTGGGCACGCGCTTGCCTACAGTGCCAACGTTCCAAGGTGCATAAACACACACGAAGCCCAGTCTCCTCATTCGGTCTTCCAGATGCCAGGTTTTCGCACGTCCACTTAGATTTAGTTGGACCCTTGCCGCCTTCACGTGGCTACGTTTACATTTTAACCTGTGTCGACCGATTTTCAAGATGGCCGGATGCCATCCCACTGAAGAATTGCTCCTCTGAGGCTGTCGTGCAAGCTTTCTTGGAACGTTGGGTGGCCAACTACGGATGCCCTACAACCATTACGACGGACCGCGGTTCACATTTCGAATGCTCAACATTCGAAGCTATGACGAACTTTCTTGGATGCCGACGCATTCGTACCACGGCATACCATCCGTCCTCGAATGGTTTAGTGGAACGTTTCCACAGGCAGCTTAAAGCTTCGCTTTGTGCCACCACTAATCCGGCATGGAGTGAAGTCCTCCCTCTTGTACTTCTAGGGATTCGAAACACACTGAAGGCTGACCTACAATGCACCCCGGCAGAATTGGTTTATGGCTGCACATTGCGTCTGCCTGGTGAATTTGTTTCGCCCCCTTCATTAACGTCTTCTCTTCCTCGACTTTTGCTTCTAAATTATCCCAATATATGCGGCAAATACAACCAACACCTCCCCGTGAACAAAATAGGCCAGTGCAAATGCACAAGGATTTGGCCACCTGTTCACATGTACTCGTCCGGTGTGATGAAGTACGCAAGCCGCTTCAGCCACCTTACTCGGGCCCCTTCAGAGTGCTTCGACGAGCATCGAAGCATTTCACGATCGACCGTCATGGTCGTCATGACACCGTTTCCGTCGATCGTCTCAAAGTCGCATATGTTGACGACGACATGGCCCGAGCTTCTCCGCAGGCATCTGCAACAGCCCCCGTTTTCCCTTTTCCCAAACATCCATCACATTTGCCGGCACCCCTACACCACCTGCCCCGCGCCACACGCGATCAGGACGTCGCGTCCATTTCCCAGCACGTTTTGTTGAAGTTGTTTACTACACGTAGTTTGTTTTCTTTCCCAGTAACCTTCCCATTTCAGAAATAAACAAAAAAACGCAAAACACAAAAACGACAAAAAAAAAACATTTTACGCAACACAACGTGCAGTTCAATAGCCACTGAATGGTTACAATGGTGAGCCTGTATATATTTTCTTTTGCTCGCCAGGTACTCATTTTCTTTCTACATTATAGGTCGCGCGCAGGACACGGTGGGGAGAGAGCGCATCCCCAGTTGTCAGTTGCGAGCAGGGGGAATACCTATCTCCATCTTGTTTCTCTTGAGTTTTGGTGGTGGTAGCCCGCTTCCGACAGACACACCTTCAGGACGCATAGGACGATCCGGATATTGAAGCAGACGCGACCCTCTTCATTCGTCACCAACCTCTTTAATCGTGCACCCCCCCCTACGTAGCGTATGCGAGTACCTCCTGCTCGCCCAACTTCACCTCTGCGATACTCATTGTGTCTTCTAAGCTGCAGTGTTCTATTGTTTTTGCTCGAAGGCTTTCCAGCTGAAGCTCCATAGGAGACATCTGTAGAGATCACTCTTGGTTTTGCAACGTATTCCAACTGTGTTGCTTCTTATTTTTTTGCGTGTGGCATCATTGCGATTATTTGTATGCAGGTCTGCATTCCTCTCGTTTTGTACGACCGTCCAAGGTCAAATTAATTATAACAACTTCCGGTCGCTTGCTGCTGGTTTGTCATCATTTGCTTTTGTCGTGCTTCACTTAAATCTTGCTTTCCCAGTCCACTTGCAATAAACGTCGTCGCCCAGTATTTTGGTTTTCTGGTTTTATCATTGTGGAGATCAGGTACAGTTCTAGACGGGAACGTCCAGTTCTCTACATTGTCTTGACGTTCAAGCAGTCTAAACGGACCGTCATAGGGAGGCTGTAGAGACATTCTTCTGAACGTCAGCTCTGATAAAACACGAAAGGGCAAGTACAATTCCGGAGAGGGAGCCTGAGAAACGGCTACCACTTCCAAGGAAGGCAGCAGGCACGCAAATTACCCAATCCCGGCACGGGGAGGTAGTGACGAAAAATACGAATACGGGACTCAACAGAGGCTCCGTAATTCGAATGAGTACAATTTAAATCCTTTAACGAGGATCAACTGGAGGGCAAGTCTGGTGCCAGCAGCCGCGGTAACTCCAGCTCCAGAAGCGTATATTAAAGTTGTTGCAGTTAAAAAGCTCGTAGTTGGATCTGGGTCGCATGGCTACGTGCCGTCGCTCACTTTCTCGGTTGGCTGTTAAGGCCCTGGGTTTGGTGGGTCGGTGTCGTGGTTGTGTGGTCTTTCTGCCGTGTCTGTTTTGCAGGTGCTGACTAGGCCTTCGGGTTTGTCGGCATGCTTTCAGATGCCTTTAAACGGGTGTCGGGGGCGGACGGCACGTTTACTTTGAACAAATTTGAGTGCTCAAAGCAGGCCCTTGTGCCTGAAAATTCTTGCATGGAATAATGGAATAGGACTTCGGTTCTATTTTGTTGGTTTTCGGATCCGAAGTAATGGTTAAGAGGGACAGACGGGGGCATTTGTATGGCGGTGTTAGAGGTGAAATTCTTGGATCGCCGCCAGACAAACTACAGCGAAAGCATTTGCCAAGGATGTTTTCATTGATCTGGAGCGAAAGTCAGAGGTTCGAAGACGATCAGATACCGTCCTAGTTCTGACCATAAACGATGCCAACTGACGATCCGCGGTGGTTCTTTTATTGTCCCCGCGGGCAGTCCCCGGGAAACCTTTAAGTCTTTGGGCTCCGGGGGAAGTATGGTTGCAAAGCTGAAACTTAAAGGAATTGACGGAAGGGCACCACCAGGAGTGGAGCCTGCGGCTTAATTCGACTCAACACGGGAAAACTCACCCGGCCCGGACACTGTGAGGATTGACAGATTGAAAGCTCTTTCTTGATTCGGTGGTTGGTGGTGCATGGCCGTTCTTAGTTGGTGGAGCGATTTGTCTGGTTAATTCCGATAACGAACGAGACTTTGGCCTGCTAAATAGTATGCCTGTCCTCTGTGCCCGTGCGGGTGGCGGTGCTCGCTGCCTCTTCGGGGGTGGTGGTGCCGTTCGCCGGCGGGTGCTGCGCAGGTGTTTACTTCTTAGAGGGACAAGCGGCGTGACAGTCGCACGAAAATGAGCAATAACAGGTCTGTGATGCCCTTAGATGTCCGGGGCCGCACGTGCGCTACAATGACGGTTTCAGCGAGTCTGGGAACCTGGCCCGAAAGGGTTGGGCAAACTGAGTCATCACCGTCGTGACTGGGATCGGGGCTTGCAATTGTTCCCCGTGAACGAGGAATTCCTGGTAAGTGCAAGTCATAAGCTTGCGCTGATTACGTCCCTGCCCTTTGTACACACCGCCCGTCGCTACTACCGATTGAATGGTTTAGCAAGGTCCTCGGATTGGCGCCATTGTAGTTGTTTCGGCAGCTCGACCGGTGCTGAGAAGACGACCAAACTTGATCATTTAGAGGAAGTAAAAGTCGTAACAAGGTTTCCGTAGGTGAACCTGCGGAAGGATCATTACAGAATTCCCAAAATTCAAAAAGCCTCAAAGAGCAAATGGGCAAGTGTTCTCAACGGGTAGTCATACTCGTTAAATGCAGCCTCGTCTGCCTCGGGTGGAGCGTCTCTCCTCTGCCATTCGATTCAACTGTGCCTGGCGCACTCGTGTGCCTACGTGCCATGCATTCTCAAGATGGGTTCTCCTTCAGAATAGACGGACGTATATCCCACATCTTTACACAATCCACCGAAAACCACGTTACCGGGCGTTAAGTAAATTCTGAAACGACCTGGTAACCCACTACATGTTACTGTCCCTAGGATAGTTGATGTCCCCTCTACACCACAGGTATTATCCTCAACCAATGGGCTTCTTCGAACGAATTAAGATGTCTCAATTAGGGCCTCATTCCCTATGCCTAAGTAGCCTTTTAAATGTTCCTCGGTCGTCGTATTCAATAGGCATGCTAATCATGCTTAAAATCTTTCTGGAGGAAGACAAGTAACGGTAATCAATAGAGTGTTCCCTCCATCTCTCTAAGACTAAGGACTATCTTTCCCAAAACTACAGACTCTCACAGCCCAAACACAACACGCTGAAACGCGAAGATTTGTAACGACCATATTTGACTCCCCGGAGTGTGTAGCCGCCATCTTACCTAATGTCCTCAATCCTTGGCGCGCGAGGGCATCATTAAGTGAAACGAACGCTACCAACAGTGGCCAACTTCTTGGCGATCGCGCAGCCATGTCGGTTGCGCCGCCCTACCTTAAAATGAATCCTGAGGAAATGACGCTCATGGATAAGCTATCGGTTATCTTGACTAAAAGACCGGAAGGAATATGCAGTCACCCGTAATCCTTGTATCTCGATCATTCGTAACAATCGACTGAGTTGTCAGCAGCGGCTTACCAAACACTCCATTGTCGACCCAAAAAACCTATTTCAGTTTGCGTTGACAGACTGTAATGCTTCAGCTGCGGTGCCTCAACTGTTCTACAGGACCTGTAAACTCCAATGTTGGATCTACTAATGTCCTCGAGACGTTTCACAACGGTATTCTTGCTCGCGCGTCGTCCTCCCCTTGGGCTTCTTTCGCCGTTAAGTTCGGTATGAACATTGTGGACACTTATTTTTCTGCCATCCTGAATCAGCTCTGGCAACTTAAAGACTACGCTGTTGGTCTAGATAGCGCTTCTCTGAAAGCTCTTCGCGGAACGGTTAAACAGATTACGGACCCCCTGGTTTGCTGTTCACCCAGTCTACCGACCTATACTGCTACCTTGACGAGGTGGTCGGGCTTGTGTGCTGTTTCGATCCGGCGGGCTATGCTGACTAGGACTCCGGTCCTTCCAGGTTCAACCCTGTCAGACAGGCCAAAGGGGAGCAGCCAGACGAAAAGCAGTTACACTCATAGGATTGTATGTCGCACTACCAGCCAGCAAAACATCTCAAATTACCTAGGTAATTTCTAAAAAATATCCGGTAATTTGACCCGGTAATTTTAGGGGTAATGACCCAAATTACCCTAAAAATTACCCTATGGGTAATTCACCCCACAAATTACCCATTTTATATACTTCAATTTTTTAAATTTTTTTCCCCGAAAATGCGAACAAACTATTTTCTCATCGTTTACGCACTGCCTTATGTGCATATACCTTTGTAGTAATACTGCAGAATAAGCCAAACGGTCGCAAACGCCCCTGAAAAAAAAGTTTTACGGTTATCTTCGAAATTCAATAACTCCCTTAATAATGCCAGATACAGCAAAAGTTATATAAAGCAAATGGATAGGAAACCACACGTAGCCTCCAATAATGCTACAACCATCCACCGGTTCGACACGACTAGGCTCAAAACACCTACCTTAACTTGTACGAAATTCAAACTTCAACGGAGTTTTATGGTTATCTTCGAAATTCCAACTCCCTTAATAATCCGGATACAACGAAAATGGTGTGAAGCAAACGGATAAAAAACCACACGTTGCTTCCATCAAGTGTCCTATGAGCGTCCTAACTGAACATTTTTAGGTCACTCATAGGACGGTCAGAAAAAATTTCCGCGTAGCACGGCTTATACCACATTTTCGGTTTCCGCACGTAATTTAGCGATTATACTTACTACAGGTAATTCTGCACATTTCCACTAACGTAACCACCCCCGACTTATCGCGAAATAGCGGAGAGGCGTCAGACACAGAAAGAAGACGACATTTACTGTGACTGTATTGAAATTGGAAAAAGTACAAGGATGATATGATCACGGATAGTCCGTGTCCTCGTTCACTGGATCCATGTGCCGGTGTGATTTTTATTTGGCAACCGCGCATGCGCGTGTTCCCTGAGTGTCCTATGAAGTCGGAAATGATATACATGAGCCATAATATTACAAGTTTTATGGGTGTGTTTGAAATTCAATATCTTCGTAAATAATGAGATAGAGCAAAAGTGAAACACAACAATCATACAGTATTCCTTCTAAGCATTTCAATAATGCTACAGACATTTGCTAGCTCATATCGAGTAACCGAGATATGTCCTCCTGAACTTATACAAAATTCAAACATGAGCCATAATATTACAAGTTTTATGGGTGTGTTTGAAATTCAATATCTTCGTAAATAATCGAGATAGAGCAAAAGTGAAACACAACAATCATACAGTATTCCTTCTAAGCATTTCAATAATGCTCATACATAATTCAAATGCGCATCAACCTGTCACTGTCGTGGACAAATCCCAGGTATATCGATATACGACACGTACGGAAAACAACTAGAATACGCAGCGATAAAACAATTTGCCGCTATAATTTAAATTATCTCCGCCCAAAAACCTAACAACACAGTCGTTAATACACGGGAGAGGTGGCGGCAGCGAAAACGGATGAACAAGAACTCGGTCGTTTGAATACTGTGAGTTCGAATCTCTCTCTGCGGCTGAAAACTATCCGCAGGGAGCGAATGCTCACTTAGGTAGACCGTTAATATGTGAGGTTGTAACATAGTCATAATGGCAATGGACGGATTTTGTAGAATGCCTAAAATATGCCCATTTTGTTGTAGGAAATGATTTTGTTTTAATGTGTTAAAAATGTTGTTGGGAAAAGGCACTTTTTCCCAAAAATTCGCCATATTTGCCGAGAAAAATGGATTTTCCATTTTTGGAGAATTTGAACGCCCGCCAGAATTCTCGAACGTCCGAGAAGCTACGCTCACCTCTGATTGGTCCATTGGGTGGCCTAGGCGCAAGGTCACCCGAAACCTATAAATACAGACGCTGTAAATCGGTATTTTGCCTTCTGGCTGGGCAGCAAATAAAGCTCGTTTGAAGGCCGTCTTTTTCCTTACTTGTTGGGGATCTAAGTTGCGAGAGTTGGGTTCCGATATTTGCGCTCTGGTTTTCGTGCAATTTGGCAATATCGTTGCGTTCGTTCGTGATAGAGATACTGCTCGTGGTCTTTGTGTTTTGTTCTTGTCTTTCTCTATCAGGGGGTCGTAACAGTTGGCGACGGGTACCAATTCTAATCAATGGCGTTAGACGGTGCTGACGTTAAGCTGCTGTTGCAGCAACAGATGAAGCTCATGGAGATGCTTGCCCAACGATTGTCCGATGCGAGTTTGGGCCAACCCGCACAACCTGGTGGTACGCAATCTGTTGACAATTTGGCATCCGGTATCTCCGAGTTCGTTTACGACCCGCATGCGAACGTGACGTTCGACTCTTGGTTCCGTCGGTACGATGATCTGTTTCGTATCGAATTTGCCAGTCAAGATGATTCGTGGAAGGTCCGGCTTCTCCTCCGCAAACTTGGCCCTGCGGAACACGAGCGGTACACCAACTTCATCTTGCCCAAGAACCCACGTGACGTCAGTTTCAACGAGACGGTCAATATCCTGTCGCAGATATTCGGTGACCAGTCTTCTCTATTCAACTTGCGGTACCACTGCCTCAAGCTGACCAAGCGAGACTCTGACGACCTTGTCACCTATGCTGGCATCGTGAACCGTGAATGCGAGCGGTTCAAGCTATCCTCCCTCACGGAGGATCAGTTCAAGTGCCTCATCTTTATCTGCGGCCTCCAGTCTCCAAATGATGCTGACCTCCGCACACGCCTGCTCAATCGGATCCAACAAGACGAGTCAGTTACCCTTCAGGACCTCACTACTGAAGGCCATCGACTGCTCAACTTGAAACATGACTCTGCCTTGGTCCAGAATCCTGCTCAGTCCTCAACTGCTGTCAACACAGTCGCATGTCCAAGGCAACAGCAACAACCCTCCCCAACGAACCGCCCAGTGAACCCTGCCTCCAAGAAGACGCCGCCCTCTCCTTGTTGGCATTGCGGCGCATGGCACTACACGCGTTACTGCCCCTTCAAGCAACACCGCTGTCAACGTTGCAAAAAGGTGGGCCACAAGGACGGCTACTGTCAGTCACGCACGTCGGGCAGTCAACGCGCAACTAACAAGCGGCCACGCCCACCTCGGTCCAAACCAATTGCCAGGTCCAGCAGCTTACTTGCTTCCTTCAAAGTCGACGTCGCCTCACGCAGGAAGTTCGTGTCCGTACTGATCAACGGGCACCCAGCTCGTCTCCAGCTTGACACTGCGTCCGACATCACGATCATTTCCAACCGACTGTGGAAGTCAATCGGCCGTCCGCCAGTCCAGCTGACATCCCATTCCGCCACCAGCGCCTGTGGTGGTAAAGTGCAATTAACTGGGCAGTTGCACTGTCGTGTCAGCTTCAAGAACAAAGCCATCGATGGAGTCTGTTATCTCTCTGATCAAATCTCAACCTACTTGGTCTCGACTGGCTTGAACAACTCGGCCTGGCTGAACTACCGATCACTGACATTTGCAATCGCTTGCAGTCCGCCTCAGCGAAGCCGCCGCGCGTCGAGCCTCAGCCATGGAAGCAACCCGAACATCCGTGGTCACGCCTCCATGTGGATTTTGCAGGACCCATTGACGGTATGGTATACCTCATCCTGGTGGATGCATATTCCAAGT